CCTGATCATCAATCCACTGGAAAATGCCAACGACTTTGATGACGAAACGGATTTGGAAGAGCCCCGCATTGAGATCCCGCACAAGGAGACGCCGCTGGAGCAGAAACTGGCCTGCGCGATGGACGAGAGTGAGCAAGCTTCGCAGGAGCATCCGCCCCAGCATCCGGCTGTTGAGAGTCTCCAATATGATCAGGACATCACCGACCATTCGGACAGCAGCGACTTCGAGTCGGACTCGGAGCTTCGGGAAACCAGCCTGGAGAAGGAGGACAGCCTCACGGTCAGTTCCAGTGCTGGTGTCAGTGACGATGTCAAGCGCTTTGTGGGCGACTGTGAGAGTGTCACCGAGGCGTTGACCCAGCACGAAAAGATCAAGAGCCGCAAGACCTATCGGTTGACCAGAGAGAAGACACCGGGTGAGACCAGTCTCAACTCGCTGGAGCAAAAGGATCACGATCATCAGAGCATGCCGGACCTCCAGGCAGATGCCCTTCCGGCGGATGAGTACTTCCGAGAGGACAAGAAGCTGGGCAAACGGAAGAAACTGTTGACTGCCGGCGACAAGAAGCGACTCAGCTGCATTTCAAAGACCTCCACAGACAGCAATCTCAGCGGCTCGCACGCCGAGCAGCCAGAGCCAGAGGAGGAGGTTACCGAGCCGGGAACCGAGTCCACCATCAATGTGGAGGACAAGCGACGCAACCTCAGCCTGGAGACCAGCAAACTGCAGCCCGACATGCAGAAAACCCTCGAGAAGGGCAAACAGAATGTGGAGATCCTGCGGCAGAATAACGCAGCTGCAGCCGCAGCGGCGGCGGCGGCGGCAGAAGAGCAGATCAGCCTGCGCAGTTCGGTGAAGAGCAGCGTTTCCCTGCCGGATGCGGCTCACCTGTACCACAACCACCTGCTGATCTACCTGGCCATATACGACACCCGTCAAACGCTGTACGCGCTGCAGACGCTTCGCAACATTATCTGCTGCGATCGCCGCACCTTCCTGTGCCTGTCGATAACCACATCCTTTTCGAGCGCCAGTCTGAAGCAGTTGCTCGTCCGCCATCGCAAAAGCATTTCGGGCAAGGGATTCGACGGCGGAGTGGGCAGCTCCGAGTATGCCCAAGGATATCGCGGCTGCATGCAACTGGAGCTGCTGGTCACGCTGTGTTTGTTCTACGCCCGTGGCTACTTCCAGAAGGAATCGCTGGACGCCCAGCGACAGCCGCCGATGCTGCAGGATATTGTGAACAACCGGCGGATACAGCTGGAGAGCATCGAGCTGCTGACCCTGATCTGCTCCGAGCTGATAGAGATCGTCAAGGGCATGGGTCGGGGGCTGGCCAACTACATTGCCGACCTGTTGGCCCGCGCCAAGCTGCAGAAGGTGATGCTGCACTGCCTGAACAGCTCAGTGTGCAGCTATGGCCGCAAGGCGAGCTCCAATAGCGGCAGCTATGCGGAGCAGGTGCTGAGCTTCAATGATCCCCAGGACGATCAGTTGCATGCGGATTGCTTCCAGCTGCAGCTTCTGCGTTTGCTGTTGGCCGTCATACGGCTGGAGCACGAGGTTCACCAGTTGCGGCAGGATACGCCGCCCGCCGCTGGCGAGGATTCGGCAGGGAACGCGTCCCCCACCCGCCTGGCGGAGGGAGCGGCGGCCAATGTGAAGTACCTGCCCAACTGTCTGATTAGCCAGCAGCCCATGTTCCTGGCCGCCGTGCTGGGCGCCCTGCAGCAGGAACGTTTGCGTCACTTGCATCGCAACTGGACGGATTTGGTGACCTCCTCGCTCAACTGCTTCTCCTTTGGCTCGCTCACGAACATTGTGATCAGCGTGGTGCACCAGCTGTGCAGCAATCTGGACCGCCTGGCCCGGATGGCTCTGCCCCAGCAGCGACACTTCCCGCCCGACTATGTGGTGTCCCAGCTGGAGGCGTTAACCATCTTGTGCCACTACTGTTTGCTGGACAACACGCAGCAGACGGCGCTCTCGCACCTGTTCAACCAGGCCTACCCGCAGACCAGCTCCTCGGCGCAGAGTTCCAGCACGGGCCAGTTGCTCAACAGCATTGTGCATTCCTTCCGCTCGGCCAGCGAATCCTCAGCCTCGGCACCGGCTCCCAGGAATCCCCAGTTGCAGGCGGCTCGGAACGCAGTCCTCTCGCATCTGCCGCGGATCATGAGCAGCGTGGCCGCCATCTGGGACAGTGAGCTGGGCCAGTTGCGTCCGGTTCGCCAGCAGCTGCTTGAGTTCCTTTCGCCGGTGTCGCTGCATCACGGTTGCAACTTCCTCGCCGCCGTGGCTGTCACCTGGCAGCAACGGGGGATGGCGTCGAGCATGAGCGGATTGAGCATTGCCGAGCAGTTCCAGAGGAACTCCACGCTGCAGGCGTGTCCGGCCCAGCTGTCGCTGGTTTCCCTGGTCTCCAGCATCCGGGTGATGCCGATGGACTCGTTTGTGCAGACGCTGCACCACGTGGTGCGCTCGCCACCGCCGATCCACCGACCACCGGCCCAGCTCAGCATCGAGGTCAGCTCTCTGGAGCTCTTCTACTTCTACATGCGATCCGCTCCAGCACCCCAGCTGGCGGATGCCTGGAGCTCACTGCTGGCCCTCATCCGTGACGGTTTGAATCTGACACCGCCGGCGCAGTTCGCTCTGCTGATGCTGCTCAACGAGTTTGTGCAGCGCTGCCCGCAGATGCCGTTCCAGGACAAGAAGGAGGTGCGGGAGCTGCACGACGTGACCTCCCGCCTGGTGGACTCGCTTTCCAGTGTGGCTGGATCCTGCCTAGAGCAGACCACCTGGCTGCGTCGCAATCTGGCCGTGAAAGAAGACACCGATGGCCTGACCAAGGACAACAGCGTCGGTGGCGGCGGAGTGCAGCAATATTCGCTGCAGGCACAGAGCGTCCTGGCCGCCATTCTATCCAATCTGCTGGACGTGGCCTACGGCTCGCAGGAGAAGGACAAGGTGGTCAACATAGTGACACCGCTGCTGTACAACATCACGCCGTATTTGAAGAACCACACGGCCCGGAACGTACCCTTTTTCTATGCCTGCTCCGCTCTGCTGGCCAGCCTGAGTGGCTACCAGTACACGCGAAAGGCCTGGCGCAAGGACATGCTGGACCTGCTGCTGGACAACGCCTTCTTCCAGATGCACCTCTCGTGCCTGCCCTTCTGGCGCATGATCATGGACAGCCTGATGACGTACGACAACACCACCTTCCGCGAACTGATGACCCGCGTCTCGCTCTCCCAGGCCGGCAGCCTGAACATCTTCACGTCGCGGGATCAGGAGTACGAGCAGCGGGCCATGCTCCTCAAGCGGCTCGCCTTCGTCATCTACTGCAGCGAGTTCGACCAGCACAACAAGTACATGCCAGACATCCAGGGTGAGTTTACGAGGAAAACTCACGAATTATATATATGTCTTTATTTTGTAAATGAGCAACCAATGAACAAGAACCAAGATCAGGGACTAAAACAACTTTTGAAACAAACCTAATACATGTTAAATGTTCAGCAATTAGGAATTTCATTACTTTAGGAACTTAATTGATGTAAGCACAAATATATATCTTTTATATTTCCCCAGAGCAACTGGCCAACAGTCTGCGACTGGTTCCCATGGGTCCTTCCGTGCAGGCCGCCGTGTTACTGTGCTTCCGTGTGCTGCTCCTACGCATGTCACCCGACCACGTCACCTCGTTGTGGCCCATAATCATTGCGGAAATGGTGCAAGTGTTTTTGCAAATGGAACAGGAGCTCAAATCGGAGAGCGAGGAGAGGAGGTAAGCTGTCCACCCGTCACATCACATGATCCATTAATCTAACGTCCATTTTACACAAAACTTGCAGCCAACAGCTGCGCATGCCTTCGGGGATCGATGTGTCGTGGTCCTCTGCTGCTGGAGCCAGCAATGGCTACAGCTCCCAGACTGCGATGCAGCATTGGCGATCGGTGCAGCTAGAGGCGTGCAAACTGTTGGAGCTGGGATGCGTGCTGCCGGCCACCAAGCTGCCACACTTCCAGATGTATCGATGGGCCTTCGTGGGCACCGAGTTCGATGTGCACGTGGAGGAGGTGGGCCTGCCCAACGGAAGCCTGGACAACCTGGCCACATTGCCCAACGCGTTGTATGTGCCGCATGTGAGGCGTGTGGCAAGGCTGATGGACATGAAGTACACCAGTCATTCGCCGGTGAGTTATTTTCTCACTTTCATGTGCTTCAACTACTAAACTCAAGCTTGTTACGTTACGTTCAGATCCAGCAACGTCCACGCGATAGACACCTGATGTTACACTTCCAGCAATTGCAATCGCTGCAGGATCTGTATGCGTTCTTCACCACGCTGGGCATTAGTTGCCCCCAGCCGCGTAACTTCGCAGACACGGAGAACGATGTGGCCAACTGCCTGCAGGAGATCGAGGAGGTGCTGGCCAACGATTTCCTGGAGAAGCTGCCCAGCATAACGACGCCAAGATGAAAACCGGCCGTTGGCCACCGGCAGACACAGTCGCAGATCCAAGCGAGTGGGTCGCAATTCGAGCTCAAGCTGAATCTGAGTCTGGGCATGGAGTCTGCCATGGAGTCGGGCAGTGCTGGCCAGGCAGCCCGCATCCTGGCCGCCGTGCAGGCCAAGCTAACCAGCCAAAATGCCGAGACGAGCTTCACGCAGACCCACAGCACCAATAACAGCACCAATTATAGCAGCAACAGCAGCAATAAGAAGACCAACTTTCCATTTTATGTCTAAGTAAGGAGATGGAGCAGAAGACGATGCCGAGTATGATAGCTAGCTACTATATATATATAGATAGACAACTGGGTCGAGTATACTCTATAAATGTCCGTAGTGTGATCGATCGTTTTAAATGTTGAGTGTTTAAGAACGCGGTAGCCCCATAGCCAATAGCACCCTGTATGTATATGTATGTAACCAATGTATTTAACTGTTGATAGTTGCTCCCCCAGTCGATGTGAATAAAAGAAGTGTTTAACGACAAACTGCAATCAAATACAAATCGCACTTTATTAAAAGCACAGCACTGTGTTAAGTAGAATTTTGGGGGGCTTCCCCGACAAAATAAGTTATAGATTAGGCACTGAAGTATGGCTGCCTTCGCGATTATTAAGCTGGAGGTAGAAATAGTTTACAACATGAATGCAGAAGGCTAGAATTAACTTTATTCAAAACGGTGGATTAAGTAGAATGCGGGCCTTCCCCGACAAATAAACTAAAGGTTAGGCACTAAACCACATTCGTGGTGCGTGGAGGATTGCTGTCCGCGCGACCTTTAAGCTGCAGGTAGAAGGAGTACACAATACGGGCGCAGAAGGCAACAATTACTGAAATTTTGGAGGAGAATATGTCAGATAAATTTAGCATGGCATCACGATTACTTACAGAGCGTAATGATGTAGATGAGCAATGCACCAAAGAGGCTACTAGTACCGACGGCCTCACGGTAACCTCCGTAGTGGAAGATTACACCGAAAACGGCAAACGGAAAGCTAATGGCTTCGATGGCGGCGAATATCAGCCAGACGAAGACCAGGCCATGCTTCTCCTGGAATTGATAAATGACGGATTTGTTTAAACAAATCATAAAAGTTTATCAACATTACCCTCTGAGTTCCGATCAGCAAACAAATATTGGCGACAACAACGATGGCAAATCCAATAAAGTTGATAACTGCAAAGAAAGTTTTCGTTACAAAACATGCATATGGTAGGTACACATATTGAATAAAAACGTTCGTCATTTTTTGAGTCATTTGATTTTCAACGTAAATCATCATTTTTTCAATACTTTTTTTCTCGGTTAATTTTAATTTTTTTGATTCAAGTTGAAGCCTAGAATCTGAGCGGAGATGGATGTTATATTGTGATTTATACTTATATATTTTGCTAAATACAAACGAAAATAAGAACTCCAAAAACGATAAAGTGAAATCCGTAATTCTAAAGTAGTAAGCCTTCGCTCTATAATTTGATTTAGTATTTAAATTCTTCCTGTGGGAGCTGTATGATATAGTTATCCGATTTGGCCTGATCCGATTTATTACTACCTGCAATAAAAGTCTTTTCGGAAGTTTCTAGTGCAGCTAGTAATGCCAATCAAGAAAATAGGTACAGCTGCGATCAAAATATTTCTTATTAACCTTTTTCAAAAGACAAAATAAAGTAATTTGAAAGCAGCTAGAACATTTTTGTTATACTTTCTTATAGGTAATTCTAAAAAACTTACTAAGACTAATATTGAAATATTTATTTTTCTCAAAATTGTATAAGCTTTTTTAGATTTATATTTTAAGAGGATAAATTTGGCTAATAATTAACATTTTTAATTGCCTTGAATAAACTAAACAAGAATAAACTCTTTTTGTTTTGTCAAAAAATTAAATAAAGAACGAGTGTTTTGCTTAAAAAGTATGTTTTTTAAACATTTCATGTTGCCTCAAGTGCTATTATTTTGACCAATACTGTATAAACTTTATAGGGTCCGGAAGTTCTTCTTCACTGCGTTGCAAGCTTTTGATTATAATTCCCTCTTCATGGGAATTAATACCACATCATTTTTCTTTATCACAACGCATACGAAACGAGCATAAGTAATGAAAGTTTAAAAGATATAACCAAATGGCCACCCAATTTTGCGTTGAGTTTGGATAATCGCATGTATGTATACAAAATACATTTCTAGAATGAGAAGACACGAGCTCGATTTTGTCACCGATGTCGTCATCGATAGAAGTGATGTATTCAAAATGTTTGTGAATTGGAACGAGTTTGTCTGGGAAGGACTATCCCATTTTGTTATTTTGTGTATTCGACGTTTACGAATATATGTTATGGATGCATATATTTTGAATGATAATAGCGTCAGCTTGGGTGTTCATCTCTGGAAATAAACAAATGCCACGCCTCGAGTTTCTCCTACCGTTTGGAGCCAAGAGCACGCCAAAAGTCATGGTAACGAGCCAGTAGATCGCTATTCCGAGGCACCAACTCCTCAGCTCAGTGTTGCACGGTCCATTATCTACCACAAGGTCGATTTTCATTTTGAGATTCTATATTTTCCTCTAAGTTTTCCAAATATAACAATGCGGCGGCACTAAACCGGTTTGGGATCTCTTAGCGCACGGAAAAACGACCGCACTTGGCAAGAATCGAGTAGCTACTGAATCGCATAAGCAGTCGTCTCTGAGAGAGCAACAGTTGGTCGAAACTGGACAACAAAGTTGTTGTTTATTGCTTACAAAAATATAAACTTGAAAACTTCTATATTTTGCTTCTTTAATTTATTTTTTTTTTTAATTTAGTTTTAGTATTTTTTTAACATAGAGTTGTCCTTATGCTACGATAGCTTTAATGCGTGATAAGAGGGTTGAAGTCGAACCATCAGATAAATTGGTCGGTAGGATGGGTCAAGAACAAACACAATTTTGATTACGTAAAGTGGTTTTGGTACATGGAGTCTTAGAAACGAAAAACTACCCTACATTTATTTCTGTGGTAATGTAAGGTTTTACGTAAGCGAATGGGCATTAAAAGGATTTACAACTTTAAAAGAATTAGCAACTTAAGAATAAGCAATTATAGGAATGCTAGTGTTCTTTGCAGTCTGAAATAAGTCAACAAAGTTTTTACATGTTGTCTAGTTTAAATTAATAAATACAATTGCGAGTGAACCGGAAAAATAGCAGAGTGGGTAGATGTTTAAATATATTATACATTCAATATTAGGTGTCATCACAGCTCAATTTTAAACATATTTTAAACTTCTTTGCCGCCGTTACTATTTGAATGGTTTGCAGCCCTGATTGTGTGCCCGTCTATTCTTAAGTAACTTGTTAAAGGTCTTGTTAATATTTAAACTGCGAGAGTAAAATGCGTGGAAACACAGGAATATATTTTTAAATTATTTTACAATATGCTAACAACGTTTTCTTAGTAAAAATTAATTAAAAATTAAGTATTACTTGAGTTCAAACGCAGGTGCCCAAAAACAGAACTTATGGAATTTGTTTTTGTTTTGAATTTTTGGCTCTCTCGCTCTCTCTTTTGTGTCCGTGGAAATCATCAAACTAGGCCTAGAGTTCCACGCGGGAAGCAAAAGGGTGGATATATTTTTTGTCTAGTTCTTCGTTTGAATAGCATTGGTGGACTTTTCAAATCCGCCTGATTAAGCTAATGCTTCTCTAATCTAAAAACCAAAACCTTTTTGTTCCGACCATGGAAATTTCGTCTCTAATAATTAGTTGAATGTCTATCAAATTTCAATGCATAGTGTTTATGGAGTCATTACTTAAGGGTCTTAAGGGACCTGATGGTTGATTAACCGGTAGTGGTAAAACCGAATGAAGTGTAAGGCCTCAAATCCCAAAAGTAGCTTTTCCAGTAGGAGCACAAAGTAAAACCTGGTACAAAAATATTTAATAAATAAACTTATTAAATATAAACAGTATTTTATTTATTTCATTAAGTTTCTGTTAAGTGATTTAAAATCATCGTTTGATCAGTTTGTTATTCTTTGAAGAGTTATAAGTTGTTAGTAGCTTAACGTATTTGATCTTTTAAACATTTTATTATTGAACAGGATTATTTAAACCATTCATCCAGTTTAAGAATTTAATTTAAGCTTGAGAATTTCTCTTTGTTAAAGGTTTTAGAAGTTCTTATTCCCTTAAAAATGGTTCTTTATTTTTTTCCACTTTATAATTATATTTTAAAATCAAGGCCTCTAAAGCGAAAAGTCAAATTACTGACTTAAAAGAAGTTTAAAAAAATTAAAACTTGTTGTGAATCAATCATGTAGTTTGATGTAAAAGCAAATCCCACGAGACTTTATAAAACAAAGTGAATTTTTTGGTTTTTTAATCGGTTATTTCATTGTAGTCAACACGCTCGATCCCGTCCAGATTCCGCTCTTCATCTTCACTTTCCTCGCTCCTGTCCTGCAGCTCTATATCTTGCTTTATATAACTGAAATCCTTGAGACAACGGCTTAAACGTTGCAGGGCCCTTTTTCGGGGGTCATATTGCTTGTCGAACCCATCGTGATTGGGCTTAAGGAATCGGTACTCGGCAAATGCCAGCGGATAGCTGCAGGCAAGCGACTTTGTGATACTGATATACACGGTGCGTCCCTTGATGCGATGACGCAGTACACCCAGTGGCAATCTAAGGGTCAGAATGAACTGCTGTATCAGTTCCGAGGACTTTGAAATTGCCCTAAAGAAAAGCTGCGATTCAATGAGCATAGTCTGGTACTCGTAATCATCTTCCGGCAGGAACACCTGAAACTCCAAGGTGGTGGTGGTCTGATAGTAGGTCACCGATGGCCGTACCACATTGTGCGGTAGTTGGATTTGTATCTGAGCTTTGTTAGCTGGATCAACCGGATCGGTGGCCGCTTGACTGGAGTTCTGTTCGGACTCTTTCTTATCTTCCAGCTGTAAGCGGGCGCAGTTCATAAAACACTCGTACAGCTCGGAAAGTGGGTCTTTGTTGGACTGCGGCCTGGCATCTTCTTTAGTTTCGGTGGAAGGCTTGGCCATCTGGTTATTGATTATTGATGCGTCTTCAATCGTAGATTTAGATTCCAGCAACTCCTGCTGCAGCTGGTTCTCCTTGCCCACCTCAAGAGCAATCTGCGCCAGCCGTAGGCATCTGCCGCTTAAAAGGCTTCTTGGATGCTTCTCCGGATCCTCCACTGTCCCCTTGGGCTCGCTCTCCACACTTTCCTTTGACTCCTGAGCATCTTTCTTCTTCTCCTCCTCCACCCCTTTATCTTTATCTATTAAAACATCCTCGAAAAAGTTCAGGATCATGTTGGTCGCCTGCTCACATCTTTTTACCAAAGTGGTCTTGATCATTCTTTGGGCTAGATTAAGATGCCGCAGATGCACTTTGAACTGGTCCGCATACACAATGGCCACCAGATCCCGAACGTACAGTGTGCCGGCGGCGGAGAACTGAATTTTGGCCTGCAGAAAGTGTTCCTTGGGCAGTTGGGTCAGCATATACTTGACATTGCGGCAATCCTCTTCAGTCCAGCTGCGTTCCCCGGAGTACGGCACCAAGCCGAGCAACCGCAGATCGCAGGCCATCGGTGGCTCCCGCTGCATTGCCTCCGGACACTCAAAGAGTCGTCCACAGGTGGTGGAAAAGATGCGCGTGTCCGTGTCCAGGGCCTGCACTTCCACCGACAAATCGGATTGGACTATATTGACGTTCTGTATGGTCGCCACTTTCAGCACGCGAACCCGCTCCTTGGTGATTGTGCCGTGGTATATGCAGATGGCTCCGACCACCAGTGGCCAGTAGCGTGGGGCTTCCTTTTCCAGCTTCAGCTGCATGCGCATCTCCTGCACTGCCGGAGAGGGAAGCGTCTGCCAGCTGCCTTGCGGCGGCATGTGCTCCAGTAGGCGAACGCAAAAGTGCGTGGGCGAGTAAACCTTGACCAACTGCAACTTGACATCTCCAGACGCAGGCATATAGTCAGGACGTCTGTCCAAATGGCTTACGTGATGACGATCTGGGCAGACGGGATCGTAGCACTTGCCCAGCACTAGAATCTGGCTGCACAGAGCTTTCTGGTCGTTCCTGGCCTTGCCCATCTCCTGGCGTATACGCTTGGCCACCGCCACTACGCCGGGATCTACCTTCTGGTGCAGCTGAAGAAAGTCCACCAGACGCGGCAGTTCCCGGTGGTTGTTTTCGGCAAGGAGCACCAGCGAATGCAATGACACCTTCACTGGACTGGCCCTGGACGCCAAACTGTTGTGCAGATTGTCGGACAGCATGAGGTGCCTCATTTTGAACTTGCTCCACGAGACGCTCATGCTGTGATGGATCAGAGTGTGCGCATCTCGGATGCTCAGCTCCGGACAGTTGTCCGTGCATAGTAAAATTACGCCACGACTGTTCGCCTGCCAACTATGCACCTGTTCGCGTACACCCAGGTCCGAAGTCTGGTAGTAGGGCAGGCAATCGTAGCCCTGATCCTTCAGAGCCATCTCCAGGCGCTGCATATCCCTATCATCGGCGCAGTGAATCACCGTGCGGTAATCGTCGGGAGGACGCTGCTGCAGCAACTGAACCACTGCGTTAACTTTGGCTGATGAGCGAACTAGGGAAATCCGTATGCGTGTTCCACCGTACAGAGCTGCCTCCATTATGTCGCCGAAGACAAGAGCCGGCTGATCATTGAGCGCTCTTAGTTTGGCCATTAGCATGGAGCTATATGACTGGGACACCATCACCACTTGGGGAGAGTGTGTTAGGGGCAGGATCTCCTGCAGCACCTGCTGGACGCCCTGCAGCTGCTCGGCGGACATCAGATCCACATCATCGTAGACCAGGAACTGAAGGCAGGGAAAGCGCATTAGACCAGGAGCCTCCTGCCAGAACCAGACCAGCTGGGCAGGAGTGGCCACCAGGCAGCCCACTCCGTTCAGGAGCCGCAGGAAGAACTCCGAACTCTTGGTCGAGGGAACATTGAGGGTCAGGGTGAACCACTCCTCCTTGTATGCCTTGCGCAGCAGGGCGTGGCACAGGGCGCTCACCTGGCGGACGCGACGCAGGTCGGGTACCAGGATTAAGACCTTGGCGCCTTGCTGATCCGCTTGCCAGGCCCCCGACTTCAGACCGCTTAGCTTGCTCCTGCTTTCCGAGATGGCCTTGCAAACCGCATGGCAAACAGGTGGCACGTACGAAAAGGTGCGACCACTGCCAGGAGCACCCACAATCATTGCCCCGTGTCCGGCTCCTCCGGCCAAATGGGGCCATGTGTAGCTCTGCAGGCGGAGCAGTCCGTTCAGCCCCAGTTTCCTCATCGTCTCCAAAATGTGCGGCAGCAGGGAGACCTCTGTGAACTGGCGAGCCGGACGCAGTTCGCGTCTGGCATGGGCCACCACATATTCGGAGCAGTTGGTGACCACCATTGGGCGGATGGCATACTCCGCAAAGGGGTCGCCCACTTCGTGGATCGTATCCTTGCTGCTAGAACTGGCGGAGCTGCTGGAGCAGCTCCTCTGCCAGACCTTCTCGAAGTTCTCCATAATGCTGGCCAATTTTTGGTCGGAAATATTTCGCATTTTATATTCTTCCCGCACTGGAAACCCAAAGGCAGATTGAAAACTGATCGGTTATCGATAAGCTTAAGGACGCCATTTTTAATTAGGCTTAGTCTACACTGAAACTGACTAATTTGTTGGCTATGAACATTACATTTTTAAATGTTAAAATGTTAAACCGCCCTATTTGGTATTTATTATAATCAGTTAAAAATAGAATGTTTTTATCAAACAAATTTTCGAATAATTAAAAAGTTATTTGATTTTTTGTTTACTTTAATTTTTAATTAGCTTCTCTTTAGAGGCTTAGACATAAGTTATTTTTAAAATTTAGATACTTTTATTAAATTATTTATATCGTTTTCTTTTACTTTAATTTTATATTTTTTGAAAACATGGGTTTTTTTTTTAAACAAACTCAGTTTTCGTATTAATAACAAAGACTTTTTTATTTTGTATCTTTTAAAGCATCATTTTTTTATTGCAACCCTTTTTATTTATCGTAAAGTGAATTATATTAAGTTGAATGCACTAAATTATCCGTTGTTTTAATGGAAGTGTATAGGAAGGCCATCAATAACTGTAAGTCCCGGCTGTCCGTCAATCGGCTATCGAAGCTTACGTCAATTCACATCGCGTGCAGAGCTGCATCCGTTTTAAGTTTATCTAGAGGAGATGATCAGCTCACAAATTACCCACGAAGCTCCCGATGAAAGCTATGCCCGTGCCATCAGTGCTGCCATTACCGTTTTTTTCGTCAAGTCTGGTTGTTTTCTAAATGTTGGCTTTTTTCCACCTTTTTCCAAAATGCCAAATAACATTAAATCCAAATTTAGAAAATCGTGGCACCTGAGCACGACCAACAGCATTCTATAAAAAAGGTCAAGTTTTAATGAGCGTATTAAGCAGATGAACATGATCACTGGTCCAAAAATTTATTAAAATTTAATGAAAATACTGCTTCACCCATGAAGTGACTAAAATGATCTACGTATGATCGGTACGAACTTAATTTACGAAAACGAAGAAAACCCAGAAAAACTTGATCAAATAACAAAGTATTTCAAATTATAATTAATAGTAAAATAAAAAAAATTTAAAAAAAATCATACATTTAAGTTCAACAAATTATATAGTTTGCTTTTTTTCTTTCTTTTTTTTTCTTTTCTTTCCTTAATTTTTTTTAGATTATTTCTTGATTTTATCCCTGCCGTGCCATTGCCGTTGTAGCCATAAGTGTGGGAGTCTCGCAATAAGGTCCGAAATATAAAACATAGCTTAAAATATTTTTTTTTAATTTGGAACTCGAAAATAAAGTTAAGTCAGATCACCCTTAAAAAACAGCCAGTAACTTGTGCTGACGAATTTAAATAATTACTGTTTTAATAGAACACATCAAATTTGGGTAATTCAGACCATAAGCAATTATTTATTAGCTTCATGTTTCAAACCCAGCATTTATTAGTCAAATTTTAAATAAAAATGTTAAAGTGAGTATATTACTAAAAATATTTTATACTGGCAGCGTGAAAAAGTCACATGTTAGTGAACTAGTCACGGTGGCTGCTCTTATTAATTCCACCCATCTGGCAACGCTTTTCGTAAAAAAGCTTTCTATTGTCAGGTAACAGCGACTCATTTCACAATTCCATTTTTATTACGCCGGCGAACGGAAGAGGTTCTGATTTTGTTCCGACACCGCAAAAAGGGGAGTACCTAATCCAGTGAAAATGTTGAGCAGGGTTTTTTGCATGCGGCTGAACACCTACGGTGTCGTCATCGGATGGCTCGGCGCCATACTCTCCTTCTTGGCCACGATCCTTTTGGCCGTGGCCCTGGGATTCGTTGATGAAATTGCGCAGCAGATCGTCGACGCCAACAAAAATCCCGATGTAACTGTCAGCCAGGTTCGCTCCGGTAAGGCTTAATCATAAAGTGCACTCCCAAGGCAATAATCTTACAATTTTGTGGTTTCTCAGTGCTCATCATAATCTTTAGCGTTTACCTGGCCCTGAAGGTGATCAATTGTTTGGCATCGGTTATGTTGGTTGTGGGAACCGTTAAGGTAAGTCGATCTGTGTACACGTCTCACTGTCTAGGGAACATCGTAAAATCAGGGCACCTTTAATCTATGGTGCAATCGAGGCAGAATTTCATAGAAATCTAAGAAAGAATTGCATTGCACTCAACTTGTTTAAATCGATATAAGCTATTACAAAGCCACGTATTTATACCAAGCTCTAACTCACAATTGGTTTTAAAAATAGATCAATGCGTAATTCTCAAACGATGTTTTACTTTGCAGGAACGCCATCTGCTTCTGCTTCCTTGGCTGATCAACAACGGAGTGCTCCTGGTCACTGGAATCATCGCCCATATTACTCTGTGGGCGGAGCTTATCGAATCCTCGACGCCATTCATAAACGCCCTACCGGTCATCTTGCTCTCTCTGTCCATGCTCGGTAAGTTAAACGTGACTCATCCGCTTTAATCAAATATATATATATGTGAGACATATTTTATCTGTGTGCCAATGGGTATACACAGCCTTTGTGGCGAAATTGTGAATCCCCATTGCGCTTATCGTTCGGGCGTTTTTGATCGTTCAGTAATTATACTCAGACACGGTGATGACTGTTCTCTATTTGTTTGTTTCAGTGCTCGCCTGGTATCTCTACTACGGCATCTACTCGCTCTTCAAGCAGATCCAAGCCTCCAGTGAGATCCAGCGCCCTCTGATCCCGCCGCCAACCCAGCAGACCAACTCCTATCCCAGCTACACCAAGATATAGGCTGGGGCATAAGCTCCTTTAAGATGTATCTAAACCGAACTTTGTCTGCATCGCATACTTTTCGAATTTACAAAAAAAAAATGTCTATAGCCCGTATTTAAACACCAAAATTGGGTATTACCTGGTAAATTCGATGCAGCAAAGGAACGATATTTGTTGTACAATTAATTCTTTTAGTTTCTTTTGGCCATTACGCCATTTCACATTCTTACATACATATTAACTAGCACTTGATGTATTTGTATCTATTGGACTGAAATTGCCAAGTACCATTTTTCGATTGGCTCATAAAATATATTTTCTATATACGCATGGAAAAGAGTTTATTTGGTTGGTGAAACATTTCCGTTTTCGTTCGGTTTTTAGATTGATGCTACTTACAAAGTGAGTTTAAATGGAATTTTATGTAAATGAGTTATGATGTTTGATAACAATGGTCTTTCATTAATATGTTGAAAAATACTTTTTCGGCCAAATAAAGACAAATGTACGCTTTTAAAAGAATGCTACATATATGATAAGGCAATTTAAAATATACTGGGATGGGAAAATCCCATCTCGTTGGTAGTATATGTGCGAAGGGTGACGTAAGTGTTTTAAAGTTGACCTATTTATAATTTAATCATAGACACAGCAATCAACAAATTTGTCAGTACAAAACAAAAAACAAAAGGTTATTAAGACAACAAGGTTACTCTACGTCAAAATCGAGATAGATAGAGTACTTTTATATGTTCAAAAAAAGACAATCTAACATCAATTAATACTAATAATTGCATACTAAAATTACATGTATTTTAAGAAAAACTGATGTTCAATAAGAACAAACTCCTGCAATTAAATGCGATTTTAATATTTACAAGCTAAAAAAAACGCTTTAATCGAAATCACCTTAAAGAAAACTTTCCTTAAAAAATTTCTTTGTAGTTTCCTAGTTAAAGAAAATATTTCCGAAATTTAGAAAAATCTTTGTACAAGATCCAAAAGACTATTTTCAAGCTCCGGACTCTGTTATGCGCTTTGCTACAGTTTCAAACTTACTAATCGCGTGACTAACGATATTTCTAGGCAAAACACAAAATAATATCTGCGGGCGACTTTACACTTACTTTGCGGGTGCTGGTTAAGTCTGTGATTATACGTGATTTTTATCCGTGGCATTGAGATTTTTCAAAGAAATTTATTCCAAGCTAGGAGCCTAACGAGTATTTCCAATTGACTGAATGCACAGAAAGGTTTTACGATGTTCCTTTCACTGTTCGATCCTCAGATTTAAATCAATTGGCTTACGTTCAAGAGGGGGCAACTCATTTGAGTGATGATGTCCTTGATTCTAGTAATTTATCGAATTATGGGCAAAGCCCTAAAGTCATTAATATTTCCAGTGTGACGACGGTTATCATAGTGCACCAGCTAGTTGCAAAATCGGTGGCCTTCAAGGTAATTTGTAATTTGGTATTTAATCTGATCTTTGCGGGCGTTCCTTGCTGTGAGTATGAGGCACGAATCCAATTGGACGCAATCGTGTTTTTTTCCACAGATTTTATAGCACCAGATGGAATCCATAAAGTCAGTCAACAAGACACACTCTAGGTCCCAAAGGTACTCTTTAAAATGTAAATATATTGGAGTAGGTAAGGAGGTGTCCATATATTTATTTTTTATATTTCTCCATGATTGCGTAATATATGGACAGCCCCTAAGGAAGAATATGATTAAAGGTATAATTCTGCTCAAAGAATACCAATTTGAAACCTTTAAGCTTCGAACAACATTCTTAATTTTTGCTCTGACAGGCATTGAAATATATTTTCTACACACACAGAGGGGCATAATTTAAAATATGTCTCGGGGCGGCATTCGTTGCAGCTTCTTAGGTACCTATTGTTGAATGGAGGTTGGCCGGTAGACTCATTGTCATTTTCCCAGGCCCACCCACATGTAGCTGGGGTCTATGAACTGGGAGCCGCGGTATCCCTGCGGATTGCGGGACACCAGTGATCGGATCTTCTGGGAGGGTCTGTAGCTGCGCAGGGCGTGCAGGAGCTTCGATGTCTTCCGGTCCTGCTCCTGCTGCTGGTCATTTTCATCCGGAGCCTCGGGTGGCATGGGCGGCAAGTGCAGCGGATGGGGGTGCTTCCCCTCCAGCATTCGCGTTTCGGACTCGCCCAGTTGCGACTGCTCCGCGAAGCGCAGGTTCGCCTCCAGCTGATTGAAAAAGCCCCCCAGATTGGTCATGGCTCCTGGAAGGAAAATACGGAAATCGGAACTAACAACGGTGTGATACCAACATAAATTTGAAATCAAATGGTCGGAATTAAATGGTCTCGAAAATAAAAGATAAGAAAAAAAATAAAGTCGAGTTATCAATAATTCTGCTAACAAATTTCAAACTAAATATTCCCCAAGAAAACAATCGGGCACCATCTGTCGATCTGTCTAGTTTAGCGATCGGCACGATCTTAAAAACTTAAAAATTTTTAAAATAATAGATTGATATTAAGAATTTTTCTGTCAACCAAATGACTGCGTAAGAATTACTAGAATCAGCATGTCAAAAAACAAGTTTTTAGTTTCTGAGATCTTGATGTTTATACAGTCAGTCGGACAGACGGACAGGCAGACGGACATCAAGAATATTTATTTATGATCAAGAATATTTATACTATATAGTCGGAAACGCTTTCCTTTTACCTGTTACATAATTTTCAACGAATACAACATACTTGTTGTTCGAAGAGTAAACTAGATTCCTTTTGTTGATCAGAAAACTATCGTATATTTTTCGAGTTCAAAACTGGTCTTCTATAAAAAGCCAAATTAAAACGGAAGAAAAAGAAAAGCATTGTCATAAAAATGGTAAAGTCACCTTCGATTCAATGGAGCTAGTGACACTAAAAAACCAAAGTGACCATACTAAAAGATATATATATTTATTATCAGCATGATTAGGCAAGTGAGTTTGTGTCTCTATTTCAGTTTCATTATCTTTTAAATGCACGCAGCTCAAGTTGGAAATACCCACGAATCGGACGTTTCTAACCTATATAAGTCATAGTAACATATAGGGTACCGTCCGGCTCCTTACAGTTTAAGTAAGCAGTTGTAGATTTTTTCTGGTATAAAAAATACATACAACCGATAACCTACTTTTCGGAAAGCTTCATCCGCCTTTTCAAATGCTTGGTTTTAATGTTAACGTAATGTAAACCTAATTTAAAAAAAAGTGATGCATTTTTAGATCCTTTACTGGAAATTCCGCATTAAGATAAAGCTTAAAAATAGTACATACAAGTGATGGCCTACTTTTCAGGGAGCTACAGCCGGCTTTTCAAATTCTTGGTTTTAATGAAAACGTAAAGTAATGTAGCTTATATATGCATAATAAAAAACCCATTTGTTTAAAAGTGATGCATTTTTAGATCCTTTACCGGAAATTCCGCATAAAGGTAAAACTTAAAAATTTAACATACAACCGATACTCTACTTTTCAGAGAGCTAAAGCCGCCTTTTCAAATGCTTGGTTTTAATGTAAACGTAACGTAATGTAATTTACATATGCATAACATAAAACTCATTTGTTTAAAAGTGATCCTTTACCAAAAATACCGCCACAAGTCATGGACTAGGCTGCAATTTGGCACAGCAATGGCTGCCAAACACAACCCATACTCACCAGCACTGATCGAGGGCCTGTAGCGGGGCGGCTGCGGCTGGCTCTTGCGCTTCCAGGGCAAGGAGTAGGCGTAGGCGAGGGGGGGCATCTGGTCTGCGTCGTCGGGGGGCCACTTCAGGGGCGACCTCTTGGCCTTGAGTGAAGCAGCTGGCGGAGATTGCCACTTGTGCTGCACCTGCAGCTGCTTGAGCTGCCGCAGCTGCCACTGGCGACCGAACATCTCCGGATAGGGGGCCAAATAGTTATCTCCGAATTGGTTGTCCATTTCCGAGCCACTCGATTTCGGCTCGGGACTTCCGCTGTCAACAGGGTAAAGGTCGTCGGAAGCGCGTGACGTCGGCGGCGCCATCGAGTCCCAGTGCCCATTCCCGTTGAAGTCCCAGTCCGGACCCAAGTCCCAGTCCCAATCCCGCTGCCACTCCGGCGGAATTTGGCGGTCGCGGCCAGTTGTTGTTGGTGTTGCTAGTGCCACCTGTGCTCCGCCGAGGGGTGCGTTTCGCAGTGGAGCTGTCGGTGAAAACACATATCGGCAGAAGGGACCATTAATTGGGTGCTCCCGCAGGATTTCGGGTAGTCACTTAGGAACAAATAGGGTTGGCGTCGCCAAACGGCATGACATCCAATTTCCGCTCCCACCCTATAGATTTTAATTAGTGATAGGCGCAATGACTGCTAATAAAAGGTCAAGTTTCATATTAAAGCAAGTACCGAGCAATGAAAAACGGGTGACAATGTGAGCTATTTTACTCAAAAACCTTACCCCATGGGATCTATATTCTGAACCACATAAAATGAAAGGAATAACAAAAATGTTATTTATTATTAACGACTCTAATGCGTATATGTGTAAAAACAATAAAGTTATGTTGATTTTGCGATCGCATGCAGCTAAGTGGTATGGTCGATTATTAGAAATGTATTTTTTAAATCGTACAAAATATCTTTGACTAGAGTTTTTTGGGTATTTGTTGTAAGAAGAAGCGGAAACGCTTGCTTCTACCTGTTACATACCTTTCAACTATTACAATACACACTTACAAAATAAAGTTTTTAAGAAAACATTTACCTTTAAGTTTAGAAAGCTTGTTAGCTTAAAAAAAATAAAAAATATTTGCATTATCATTATGATTAGGTGCCACACACTTTTATGAAAAGCGTTTTCTTTATTCAAAAAACCATTTTCTAAAACTATTGGGAAAAAATCAGGCAAATTGTTCTTGAATCAATACCGATTTTATAAAAACAAGGCGAATTTTGTACTGAGCGTATAACATAGTCAGTTCTTAAAAAACTACTAAGAAGCAATAAAAGAAATTATAAAAATGTCTTGGTATAAATTAAACAAACATTATAAGTCGGAAATAAAAAAAATACTATTGAAACACCTTTTTTTGTATAATATTTTTCATACGATTTTGAGAAACTCAATAAATGACAACTCCGTGTATAACATTTTTCACAAGTTTTTTATAAAAAAAGTGTACCAATAAATGATAAACTCCGTGTAGCGGGCTATTTAGAAATATGTAATTTGTTCCTAAATATATACGTTAGGCTCATCTTTAATACCAAAAATGTAGTAATTTTGCATAAAATTAAAGAATTTGGTTTCTGAGTGAAAGTAGAGGTAATAATAAGAATAAGCTAAAACTTGACCTGATTTGAATTTATTTAGTTTTCGATACCAAAGGCTTTAAATACTAAATTTTTAGTGCTGGTTAAATTTTTCTGGCAATCCCCGATGTCATTTGGGACTTGTAAGCTAACCAACTCACCTGCAAAGAGCAGGACCATCAGCAGAATCCGTCGCCTCATCAGCAGGTGCGACATTATGTGGCTGCGTTTTTAATGACCGCCTTCGGGGTGTTGTTTCATTTTACGGATTCACCAACGCTAAATAGTTTGCAAACACATCTCAATCGAGGGTGGTGAAATTCCAAAGAAGAGAGCTGCTCTGCTCCCACTTCCAAGACAGATCGTATTCCACGCCGGAGAACTGACGACTGACGACCAAGTGACCCGCACCGTGCGCTTTTATAGCTCTACGCGGGCTGCGGACCAAACCCAGCTGCACGGGAACCCTTTCGGCCACCGCCACCGCCACCCCGACCATGCACCACCATGCCAGCAGCACCTGTTGCCCGACGAGAGGAGCAGGACAGGCACAGTGGAGGACGCTGGGGACATGCGCACCAGCCGGATGGACGTGTCACCTTTACTTGGTTTTTGAAGTGCGACTTGAGCTCTGGCAATTTTCTAATATGCACGGAAATGGCGAACGGCGAATGGCGAACGGCAATGGCAATTGGGAGTCGAGTGTCCAAGTGCCGCTTTGGATTCCATTCCACCATTCGGTTCAATAAGGCTCAGGTGTGCCAAAGGACCCTTTTATGCAATTATCCTGTCATATTGCGCAATTTTCCCAGCAACCGATATTGCTCCAGGTGTAAGCCGGTCTTGCTTCACCTTTATTCCCTGGCATCCCAGACATCCCAGGCATCCGGCTGACATGACGTCAAAGGCTTTGCCTTTGAGATTGGCCACCGCCGTATTAGCATAATTGGGTCAGTGGCTGGCTCCGGTGGTGGCTTCCACCGGCCATTGTGAGCCGTGCATCCATTTGGCCGTCCAGGAGCCGCACCACCTTAGGGCCTTGGTCGCTCCCCGCTCCTAATTAGATTTGCATGCAGCTTCTTTGTGGCACGCTGGGCGTGCTAATGGTCCGGAGTTCTGCTGGCCCCTCGCTGCATTGGTTCATTGGTCTGGCGGACGCCAACTTTGCCTCCAAAGCATTTAAAAAACTTTCAAGCACAAACTGTTTGTTAATTAAGCTTCAATTACAAGTTAGTTGAAGTCAACTCACGGCGCATTTACCTTTGGCGAAGTTTAAATCAATTTCAGCTCAATAAACATAAGTTTTTTAAATAATTTTGCAATCAAAAATTAAGTGAACATCGTTTATAATTTAGTATATAGCTTAGCTAATTATGACGTTTTTTTTTTAATTTTTTTGATTTAAAAACAAACTGCAGTAAAAATTACCAGAGATTTTGGTTTCGGATTTGATTAAATCTTAAAAAATTGTTTAAGAAATCCGTTGATTTAAAACGAAGAAATTATAAAGTTTTTCACAGACAACTACTTAAATTATTTTGACCCGAATCAACTTAAAAGAATAGTGTGTTTTAGTTTTATTTTTTGTTATTTATTTTATTTTAAGATGCGGGACATTTTAGGCGTCAAGAATACAACAATCACAAAAAAACATACCTTTTATTGAATTATATATAATACCCAAAAAGATAATAATGTTTTGTAAAATTGAATGTACCATATTTTAATACCCGTTACTCGTAGTCTAAAAGGGTATATTGTAATCGTTGAAAAGTATGTAACAGGTGGATGGAAGCGTTTCCGACCATACAAAGTATATATATTCTTGATTGGGATCAATAGCGAAGTCGATCTAGCCATGTCCGTCTGTCTGTCCGTCCGTTAAACGTCGAGATCTTAAAAACTATAAAAACTAGAGATTTGAGATTTGAAATGCAGATTCTAGTAATACTTACGCAGCGCAAGTTTATTTCAAACCGGATGCACTCTAACGCCCACAAATGGCAAAACTCTGTCACGTATCTCTGAGACATTTAAGACCTAAGCTGTTGGGCTCTGCGTGTGTATTTCGGTCATATCTATTGGTAAACACAATTATTTTCAAAATCGAGATATTATTTTAGAAGTTAACAAGTCCGCTGCCGACGCTCTGCCGGTGCTCGGTTGCTGATTGGCCGGTGCTCTGCTGGTGATCGCTGATGTAGAGGGACAGCAAGAAAGATCTGTGATTGACGTTGATTTGATTTAGATTGTTTCGTGGAGGAATATTTAGTTTGAAATATAATAATCGGGGAACCCGACGTTCTTTCTTATTTCATCTTAAACGTATTTAAAACCCACTGAAAACATGTGAATTTAAGTAGAAGCTAACTTAACTGGTTATCTTATATAAAAATTTAAGACTACGATATTCAAAATACGATTTAATATGTAAATGCTCATTTGAAATATAAATTAATATAAATAAAACTTTGAAATATCCAACATTTCTATTTTTAAATTGTACAACGTTACTCAGCCTTTCAATTTCAAAACATTTTCGCCCCAGCAAACAATTGGGTTTTAGGTGGCCCCATCTGTCGAATGATAGGGTTACCACTACAAGCTAAAATCGAGCAGTACCTCAAATTTGTTAATACCCAAAAGGTTACATTTATGCTTATGTTGACCGAATGTTGTCTAATTAGTAGGACAGCAACATCTCATCGTATTGCAATATATTTGGAGTTGTTTCAATAGTTATTATATTGAAATATTATAATAATATTGAAATATTATATTAAGCATTTTATTGCGTTAAATCATTAAATGGAGCGCTTGGCAGAACCTAGCAGTTTAGACCAAGTGACTGAAAGATTTTATGTGGTTAAGATAGTAGCAATCGCTCATTTAAGTAAGTCCCCTTACAGATATTAAAGGATTTTTCAAACCAAATCCTTACAATGTAATCCATAGAACGTTCTATTTCTAATGAAATAAGCTATCCATCGGTTATTCAGAACTTTAGTTAAAAATAAAATATTCAAAATAAAAAGCGTTAATCCCATACAAATAAAAATGCTACTATACAAAGCACTTTGAGTGTCATTTTCTAACACTGGGCTGGAAAATCGAGGTTTGATCTCTGGAGTATTTTGTTGATTTAAATTTGTTAGCCAGTGTAATACGTATTATTCATATATTCGTATGCTTCTCGACTGTAGGGCTTACAAAATTCGCAAAGAACCTCGAGCTTTTATAGTATTCCGGAAACCAAACGTTCCGCTCCATAAAAGCTTTGGGGCTATGGTTTTTGAAACCCACTGTGTTTTCGCTCAGTCGCTCTTGAGCTTTCGTGCCGCGAAGTTTTCGTTAGCACAACGCTGTAGTTGCAGCTGCGACCGAATAATTGGCTTCACAGCAGTTAAAATTCGTAGTGAAAAGTGTACGACACCCAAAAAAGGACTCACAAAAGAGCCTCCAAAGAATTGAAGTGCAAGAAATAATAAACAACTCTAAAGGAAGAGGAGTGTTAAAGGAAATCCACGCTACTTTTGGATTAAAGGTGCGGCGGGTATTCTTTCTTTTTTTTTAATTCTGGGAGGAGGTTGTGCACATGCCGTTGCATCTTAACAACTCCTTTTTGGCCACCCCATGGAGTTTTCACACGCCAGTGCGCCGGCGCCATTGGGGAAAACGGCTGTTTTTCACATTTCCCGCGCTGCCAGCAGGTTGACGACCCGCCCCAAACCCAGACCAAAAGCCCGAAATGCCGAAATGCCGGCTTACACACCACTCACTTTCGTTCAGTGCGTTTCCCAGCCCTTATCTCATTTTCCTCGTTTCGTTTTCCCGCTCTTAATTGTAACATATGTGATTACCAAATAGACCAATCTGTCGGCTTACGCCGCGTATACTTAATGCTGACTGCCCATCGCTGGTTTTTGTTTGCCTGTGATTACTTGGCCCACATCCAGTTGTAACCCTCAGCCAAATTCGGAGGTGGGAATCTTTTTACCAAGCACGCACTGGCACTTGATATTCGATTTGGGCGCGGGCGGCTTCAAGTGACTCTTGTTCTTTTCGCTAAAACCGAAAAAATGTGTTAAACATTCATGGAACTTATTCACGGGGTGAATGGAGAATTTTGGGTTGCTCTACACAACTGAATAGTTAGTTCTGACGAGAAATTAATATTTTTAATAACAAAAGGGCAATATATGTATAGACTCCTTGGGCATACATGTAGTTTTTAAGACAAATTTTTGATAAGAATATTTTTTTTTAAATGCTTGAAACTAAAAAGAAATCAGATTAACATTTTAAGCAATTTTATTTTATTGTACTCTGTTGTATTTAAATATCTAGCGATGTATGTGACAACCGAAATTCCAGTAAAGAATTATAGAAACCTACCCACACAGAAAATTAAACAGAAAAGTACCCATTTCAGAGTTAAGCTTCATCAGACAAACATTTGGAAACACCCCCTTTCCCCCCATAAGTTAGCTGCTATAATTTGCATCTTATTCACTGATTTTTAGCTGTAACTAACGCTGACTCGATTTCCGCTCGATTGCCAAAGCAGTTAACCTTGGAGGGCACAGAATATTGCATTGCACCAGCAGCAACAATAGCAGGTTAATCATCAATGAAGCGTTCAAGAAGCATGCTTAAGGCCTTCCGATTTTGCATTGTGATTTAAGCTGGCCAAGTCACGTGGAGGTGGAGTTGGATGGAACATACATATGTAGGTGGCCAACAACAAACGGGCGAGTGGCTGGGCAAAAACTACAACCGGTTCAATGTTTGCACAATTTTTGTGTGGCTCCGTGTGTTTTGGGTTCTTTTATTTGTTATTTTTTTTTCTCCGCTGCTCTGCTCTGTCGCCAAAACCATTAAATATTACTGAATGACTGCGGCTCTGGTCGTCGGTTTACCCACATTTCGGGCTCTACGTGCGGAGCATGCTGGCTTGTTAATTTGAATTTCACACTCGAAACACAAACACTGGCTACGACCAGATGTTGCTAGGTACCAGCTTCCCGCACTCTCTCTCTCTCTCTCTTCCAATCTTTTCTTTGATAATCATATTTTTAGTAAGGTTTGTTATATATATGTATAATGCCACCCCGGCAAGCTGATTCACTGGCCCCCAGCTCATCGCACACCTGAAGGTCAGCGAGAGTTACACCCTTGCTTAAACCGGCTTCCTGCTCCACCTTCGCCACTTCCGGTTCCTGAACCTCCGCCTCCACCTCCCCTTTTTGCGGTGTTGCGTGTGTGTTAGACATGATTGCCCCTTAAAGTACACAGGGAAAAAGTTAACTAATTAATACAATTCTTAAAATTGTAACAATAATCATTAAAGAGAAATAATACGAGGTTGATAT